TAATATATTAATATATTATATATATTATATATATATATATATATATATATATATATATATATATATATATATATATATATATATATATATATATATATATATATATATATATATTTACGAAACACAAACAGTGCTCAATACCATATAGATAGAGCGTAATATAGTTTTTCGATGATTCCTATACAGATGAAACAGACTGTTGTGGTTTTTTGAGGTAAAACGAAAAACTATATATATATATATATATATTGATATATCATCAGGTGGTGAGTAATTTCGAAAATATAGGTTGCTTTTATGCTATCGAAAGAATGTGCGGAATGCGTGTGGGCGAAACAATGCTTAGGCGAAACCGTGCTTAGGCGAAACAATGCTTGGGTAATTAAATTTTGTTAACAACCTTGTTTACTCGAATTCGATTTTTGTGACGAATCTTGCCGAAAATTTCGCTTCTTTTATTGAGTAAATTGTTTTTGTTTATGCCTTTTAAAATGCAATATTTTTCTTCCAGACATAAATTGCAGCGTTTTGATCCCCCCGTGTACGAAATAGCGTGTTTTAAAATTGACCATTTGATGGTATAATCTTGATTGTTTTCTTTTATAAATTTCCAAATATGTTTCGAAAGTTCCGTTTTATTTGAGTCTTTTTATGACGAAAAGATGAAGTGTGGTTAGCGTAACGTTCCTTAAATGTAGTCGCGCTGTCATACCAATGTCAGTACCGGTAGTGTTTAGTGTCGTTCGTGCGTTCGTTGTGACTCATGTGGCTTTGCATGTAAATAATGTTGTTGGTCATACATTGTTTCGGTAGTGGGCAAGTGTTCTTGTTGCGTTGTACGTGTTCTGTCAGTGACGTTTCATAAATGTTTCTAGTTTTGTCGGCGAAAATGAATATATATATATATGAGAGATGATTTTGGTGAGATGATTTTGGTGCATTGCCAGAATTAAATCACGAAGTAATTTTCAGTCTAGAAAATTGTATAAAATTTTCCGCTCGAAATCTACAAAAATCCTTCAATGCAACTACATGTTATATAGTCCCAAAAATCTCGATGTTTACCCATACCACGGCATCACCCACTATATATACAAAAACTTGAGGTTAGAGCTCGACAAATGGACTCAATTTAACAAAATGATCAGCTTGTTAATATAGAATTGCTGAAGTTGCCTTTCGTCTCATTCTTATCATCATGCAAGCATCAAAATCATCCCACCTCTCATACCGTCCGGGTAAACGGCGCGTGTGAAAGTGTATATCTATATATATACTCACATTTTGAAGTACTAAACGTTCTTGACCAATTCGATTGCTCACTTTGGCAGACTGACTGGTGTATCCACATAACCCAGCAATATTCAAGTTATATATATGCTTTCAGGTGGGTAGAAACCATGACGTATGACTTTTTTACCGTGGCAAAGGGCATGTGCTAAAACCTGGACTGGACTATGGACTGGACTGGACTATGGACTGGACTGGACTGGATTTTGGACTGGATTTTGGAGTGGATTTTGGACTGGATTATGGACTGGATTATGGACTGGATTATGGACTGGACTATGGACTGGACGCATTTGTGCTAAAACCTGGGATTTTTATTTAGCTACAGCCGTTTCAACGAATTCAGTCTCCGGCTATGACTTTGTCATAGACACTATACTATATACTATATACTATATACTATATGACCTTACTTACTGAAATTTTATTTGACAGTTCATTAAATAGAAATTATACAAATTTACAACATTTTAATCAATGTTACAATTCTCGACGTTTTCAATAATTAGCGTGCGTAAATAACCGGACCGACATTTTGTACTTGTAGAGAATGTTCTTCTCAAGCTACGACATCTAGATTTATCTCTCACAATCCACAAAGCGTACCAAGAAGTACTGAAAAAGGTGAGTAAAATAGTTTTAAAACTTGATATTTAAGAGCTCGAAATCTCAAATAATATTTTGCAATTCTAGATTCCCCTTATTACGTTTTCGTAGTGCTTTCCATTGTGGTTATAGTGGTATCACAGATATTCAATGGCTTATTTTTTGTCCTGACCCGTGCAATAACTTTTTAAAAAGCTAGGGTCGGGTGCGCGATAGCCAACAGCAAAATATTCGCGAAAACATTCAATATTTTCATTCGAGGCCGCTATCTTTATCAGTGATACCACTATAACCACAATGGAAAGCGCTACGAAAACGTAATAAGGGGAATCTAGAATTGCAAAATATTATTTGAGATTTCGAGCTCTTAAATATCAAGTTTTAAAACTATTTTACTAATCTTTTTCAGTATTTCTTGGTACGCTTTGTGGATTGTGAGAGATAGATCTAGATGTCGTAGCTTGAGAAGAACATTCTCTACAAGTACAAAATGTCTGCCCGGTTATTTACGCACGCTAATTATGGCATATTGTAAACACTGGACTGGACTTTGGACTGGACTTTGGACTATGGACTTTGGACTATGGACTTTGGACTTTGGACTTTCGATTTTGAAATTATATTATTTTTTAGATTTTCGTATAATTATATTAAAATCTAAACAGAGAACGAAAATTTGCTGCTGAAAAGCGTGCTACACTGCATGCACATGCATGATATAATAATATACAAGGTAAAAAATCTCTAGTATCAGTTATATAGGTATACCAGCAGTGCAATTTCATACGGATATAGCCTGTAGGATAGCAGGATTATCCAATATTTTGGGATTTAATATTTACATTTTATATAATATTTGTATTTATAGTATGCATATAGTACAGTATATACTGCAGAACTTCTTCTTTATCATATAGATAATAGATTAATTGTCAGAAACAATTGTGACAAAAGTGTCTCGGCAAATACAAAATATTAACTATACAAGTGATTATTATCGCGCCTATTGAGTATTGAGTATTGTGACTGTTCATCTTTGCATAATAGTTTATACTAGTACTGCAGTATTGTGTAATTGTTTACTCCGTTACACAGTAACGTTTTGTTAATGTTACTTATTTTTGAAAGACATTCTAGTTAGCTATCCATATCACTATAAGACTAAGTGCTTCAGTTATTATTACAGTAATTTGAAGTGTTAGTAGATGGACAGGAATATTCGACTAACGGAAATTTACACACTTTTTAAGACCTACTCAGTTGTGTGTGAGAAGGCAAAAATCTATGTCTATGTGCTTCAGGTAGTCTAGCAACTATTTGCCACGTTTACTGTAATACTACCACTTGCAAGTGATGAACCAGGCGGGAATCGCAATCGTAGTATAAAGATTAATGCTCAGCCGCATAACGTACGCAAAAG